CCTCCCTACCTCCCTACCTCCCTCTCTCCCAGAATTATTTAGGAGCATCTACCATGTGCTGAATGGCACTGGAGTTAAGAACTGGAAGGTGAATTGAGAAAAATAATACAATCTATCCTGCTCTCAGCCACTCTAACCTCTTTGATATTCAAGGACTTAAAGGATTCAATTAATCAAGACAAACCATAGCAGGGGTTATCATGAGTCTTAAACCTCACACGAATGTAAAACACACTCATTAATATCTTTAAGGCCAATGTCACTATTCATTTGGTCTCAGAAGACGAAAGCAAAATAAAACAGGAGCAAGGCTTTTCATCATAAATTATACATAAGCCGCTGCTACATCAAGTAAAAACTCCAGTAAATAAGCAATCTCTTTTATCTACAGACAAGCACCAGGCATGCTGTTCTGCTGCTCTTCAGCTGTGTAATGACTTTGGCCTCCCTCCTATGCATGTCTAGCAACTGTTTACAAGCACCGAAGACAGGAAAGGTGTATTCCTGCTTGAATCTGACAAACATTAGCATTTTTTGCTATAGATTACTCAAAACAGAGTTAAAGAGTAAAAAAGAGCCTTTGATTTTTAAGAAAGGCATATTTCATTGAGATAACTGTTTGTTATGTTTAGTAAAGAGATGGGTGATGATTCACCTTCAAACCCTAAGTTTCTATGACTTAAAAGACAAACAATCAAACATGTTAAGAAAATATAAATTAATAAAAATACACAAAATGTTACACTGCCTTGGTCTCAACCCCCTCCTCTGTCTAAGCCTTAGTGTATGGAGAAGAGAGGGCTGCAGAGAGAAGAGAGGGTGCTCCATAGAAGGGTCTGATTTTGAAACCCTGCAGAGCTCAAGGCCAGGGCTGAGAACACAGCTAGTGGCTGATCCATGCTGATCCATAGTCAAGCACAAGCCTCTGTAACTACCTGGAGGCTGAGTCCTAGACTGGTGGAGACCAAGGAAAGCTCCTCCCTCCTACTGGCCTTCTCAGTACCTGGGACCCACCTGCAACAGGTCCCCTTCCTCTCCACCTCCCCCTGGCTCTGTCCAGAGCTTCCTTAGGCCCCTTTGCCTCCAGAAACCAGGGATGTGTTATCATCTAGAACATGTTTACAACTACTGCTTTTATTAGTATCTGACATCTACCTAATTACAGGTCACCTTGTTTAGTGTCTGGAACACACCCTTATTCCTCCTATATTAGTTCTATTTCTGTTTCTAATAAATAACATTATTACCGAAACACAGCTTCTTTATGAGAACAACTATTAATGCATTCATTTCACTATCTGAGTTGAGGTCAAATGCAAACTTATAAACTAGGACACAATCTATAGGTAAATGAAGGAAGGAAGGAAAGAAGAAAGACATGCTTGACAGAAATCAAATATAATTTCTGCCAAAGGATAAACAGAGGCTCTTAAAAGGGTATTTTGTTTCTTAAAATGAAATAAAACTTAAAGCAGTTTCATCATCAAAACTGGCGACACATGTAGAAACCCTGTTACAGTGTAAAAGTACCCTTTTCAGAGTTCCAACTACACAATATACAGCAGAGTATTAACCAGTGTGTTTGAGCTCCCCAGCCAACCCCATGTTTCTATGTTATATCTGGGCCAGTAATGAACTGTCCCCATTCCCCAGCACTCGCCTTTTTCAGGACACTGTCCAGAGTCTCTGGTCTACTGATGTCAAAGCAAATCAGCACGGCATCCGAATCTGGGTAAGAGAGGGGCCGGACGTTGTCATAATAAGGCGAACCTGAGAAGAGATAAGATACACAAATTTTCAGATGAAAATCCCTTGCCTGTCATGCATTAACCCTGCCCTTTTGAGTTAAATACCTTGAATGTCACATGGGGGGCCCCATTCCCACCTCCTCTAATTCTTGGGAGTGAACACCGAAAAACAACAACAACAACAAAAAACAAAGGCCGAGTAACATTTATTTCTGTCAGAAGAGGGATGGGGCCTCCCTTGTATCTGATGTGAATTGAAAGGGAAGAGCCAGGATCTTTTAGCTGACGTCTGCACAGTTCACAGTAAAGCCCAGGGCGCCTGGGTGAAGGGCCGAGGTTGTTGGAGCCGGATAGTGGGGAGTGCAAACCCCCCTCCACCCCTGAAGGGAGGGCAGAGTTGCTTGGGACTCTGCACACGAGCCTTCATTCACAAATGAAGATGACATTATCCACCTGGGGTTACATAAACCCAGGCAGGGCGTGGCGTTTAGTACAGAATCGGTAAGAATTAACTATGGTTATGGCTGTGTCGGTGCTATTAAAAGCTGAGTGGCAGCCAGCACCATAAATGGAGCTACTTCTAGGGAAAGAGACCAAAACTTAAAATCACTCTGACAATCCAGTAAGGGTGAGTGGGGGAGGGAAGACAGGTAGGTTCAGCTCTTCCAAGAGAAGCAGGGTAAAGCGCATCTGGGCACCCTGTCTCAGTCACAAGGTTGGATAAGCCATCATCGACCTTTGAGCTCGCTTACTTAAACTTGCCCCCAAGCCCTACACGGCCTCTCTTCCTGCTACAGCCAAAGCAGGTAATAAATGCCATATTGGAGCACGTCACTTTTTTACAAAGTTCCATCTCTGAGAGTGACAGGGAGGCATGATCCAAGGATCTTGGCCTGAATCAAATCCAGGGTACCCTAAAGATTTAAGTTACCAGCCAATTAATTTAACCACAGAACCCTCTAGTCTGTTAGGAAATCTCTTCTTTTCCTTTAGGAATCCCAAAGGGCCCGGCCAGGTGTGGCTCAGCGGTTGAGCATCGACCTAGGATCCAGGCGATGGGGTTTCGATTCCCGGTCAGGGCACATGCCCGGGTTGCGGGCTCGATCCCCAGATCAGTGACTGTCTCATCATCATTGATGTTTCTATCTCTCTCCCTCTCCTTTCCTCTCTCTGAAATCAATAAAGATATATTTTTTTAAAAAAAGGAATCTCAAAGGATGGGCAATTACATGACGCTAATTATTATAAAATAGTGTGACTATAAAATCAAAGACAGCTTGCCAATGCTTTTTATTTTTTAAAATCATTTCCAGTATACTGACATTTCACAGGCATAATATGAGAATCATTTTATTAGGAGAAATATATATATGTGTGTGTTGCATTTGACTCCAGACTAGAGAGAAAAGAAAAAATCGAAGCCACCAAAGTCTTTTTGAAAACCAATTCCACTTTGACAACACTTTCTATTTCTAGCAGAAAAACATGACACATTGTCTCCTGACAAATCAAAACCTTGATAGTCAATGTCAGGAGAAGAGAAAGACTAAAGAAGCCTTTAAAATAATCTTTTACATTTCTAGCAAAACAAAATTCTTCAAGAAGCTACTCTTGAGATCTGGTATTGTAGTTAGGGTGCACCATCCTCTATTCGCAGTATATTCTGGTCCCTAGCAGTCACTAAGGAGCCCCAGGGGCACTGTGGCCTTTACACTAGCTGCTCTACAGATGGACCAGGACAAGATGAAGCCAGATGTGTCTGCCAATCAAGGAAGAAGGAAACGCCGTAGGAATCAGGAAAAAAGTGTATGACTAAGTACAATCAATCTAAGCAGGAATTTCTCCTGAGTTGCACCAGCTCCCTACCCACATCTAGAATCAGGACCCTGGTGAAGCAGACTGAAGACTGAAAGGCATTTTCCAAAAGCCTGAAGGCTTTACAGTTTCTTTTAAAATCAAGCCATTTTAAATATTAAGGAATATTAGAATGAGGGTGTCTCTGAAAATGACAAGTTGTAGCTCCTGCCTTTTCAGCCACTTAAATCTGAGGTTAAGAGAATAACTCACAAATAATTCACTAATTTAAACATTGCTGAGGGGCATCAGAAATGAGATGGCTTATCGCTCTGTATGGATATACTGGTATTTCTGACTTTCTGAATTGCAACCTCTCCGGTTTGTGTCCAAAGTCTAACTTTGACACAGTTGCTGCTGAAAACATTAAAGGAGTCTCTTTCCAAACAGTCAGAAAATTCCAGGTCATAGAGTGGAAATCCAAGTACCAGCCACGCACTCCAGGATTTCCTCTGCTCTTCAAAGTTAGCAGGAGATGAGCTGACCCCAAATCCATAAAATCAGAGCTTTCCAACAGTGAGGGTTGTCAGAAACCTAACCAGGCTTTCAGACACATCCTTCCTTGGAAATCACTTGCTTTCTAGCCTCGATCAGACCTGAACTTGGGAGCTGGCATCTCCAGGTGCCTTATTCCTTCAGAACATGACTGGGGACTAGATGAGAGGACTCCACTGCTAATCTCAGATCTCCAATTACTCTGTGCAACATGGAGGCCATCTTTTCCAAATACTACAAAATTTAGAAAAGACAGCTGGAGAATTATGAAGATCTTAAAATAGAATAATCAAAATTGGGACTACCAAGAAAATGGTTTCATCTTTTAAGTCACCACGTGGCTGCAGAGAACACCCCTCCGGCCTTTGTGTGCTGGGATCCCTCCCCCGCACAAAGGGGACCTGGCTTTGTGTTCCGCCCTCTGTGTGGCCTGGAGACTCCCGCTCACTAGAATCAAGCAATCTGCTTTCTGTGCCTGGTGAGCACACCCAAAAAGCTGCAAAATTTAGACACTGTCCTGACTTAAAATGAAAGAGTTTGCAACTTACACCACATTCTTACGAAGATTTGTTTCTGTTTTTATTTGGTTTAATTATTTTGAATGAAAATACGTATGTATGTGAAGGTTCAGGAAAAATAAACTACCTTGCTTATAGGTGTAAAGAGGCAACTTTTTAAAATAAATTTATTGGGGTGACATTGGCTAACAGGATCATATAGGTTTCAACTGTACATTTTTATGATACAAGATCTGTATATTGCACTGTGTGCCCACCATCTCAAGAGGCAATTTTTAAAAAGCTTTCATAAGATCTGATTAGGAACGATCCTGTCCTATCACTTCTGTTAATGAACAGCACACTTTTAGATCAACAGGGGTGTCCAAAGGTGGTAATAAAACTGATCTCTACATTTATTAGTTATAAGTATAATTTGTCTAACCACTAACTACAAGAGTAATTTGTCATTAAAAATAACAAGACCACTTACTCATTATATTTTTGGATGGGGTAAGGTTGAAACTCTTTTTGGATAGGAAAATCTACTGCTATTTTTTCATAGAAAAAACGGATACAGAATTATAAAAGAAAAAAAAAATCTACCTGAAAAAATACCTAACAATTCATCAGCTAAGCAGGACCTTCAGGAAAAAGAAAAAAGATCCTGTGTAACTTGGCAGTGTTTACTCTGTGTTTAAGCACTTTGGATTCTTCCCTGTTCCCTCTATAAAGCCCATGCTACTGCACAAAGAAAGCAAAGCTGGAGAGCGCACGCTGTAATCACAGGCATGTGTGGTAGAACTCGCCAGCCAAGAAAAAGTGAAGAGGAATTCCAGGAATGCCCCTGTGAAGTGAGAAGCAACGCAGGGAGGCACAGCAGTGACACCAAAGCCAGGGAGCTGAAAGTAAGCTCCTGAAACAGGAACCATGTTCAGAGCCCTTAACTCCCACATCCCCCCACAAAAGTCTTAAAACAGTCTGTTAAGCCAAACAGCAACACATTAACTTTATATATATATATATATATATATTTTTTTTTAATGATGCAGGTGCACAGCTTCCAGGGTAACTGCATAACTAAAACAATACATGAAAGAGCTCTGCACATTTTTTACTATGTAGGAAAGTACGCAACTCTAACTGCAGTACACAGTAGGTACTGACGTATGTACCCCAGTACCCAAGAATGTACTACAGCTAGTACAAGTCTAGGTACTGCGCTTTCTCAAATAAAACTCTTTCTCAGCATGTGGGACAGGCTTCATGCATATGGAAATCTCAGCTGCAGCATTTCTTATTATGCCAAAGCACACAGCACTTTTCCAAAGTCCTTTCTAATTAACCTATCAGACCATAAAGGGAAAACTTCAGAAAAATTCTGTATCTTAAAGAAACAACTACACCACATAGGCACCCCGCCCCTAAAACACCTTTTTGCTTGGGTGTAGATTACAATAAGTGCACGTTTGTGGTTCTCAGAGCTCCTCAAGCTTGGCAAACATCAGCAAAGTTCTGAAAGGCTTTTGAAACGTCAGGTCTACCCATCTTTGTCTTCAAGATCATTAACTCTGGGTGAGAGCAGTATTTCCAGCCCAAGAACAGTCATGAAAGCCTCACCCAGAAACTGATTCTGCAGACACATACCTGCCTGTTTACGTCACTCTTTCACAAAGACAGAACATACCATATATGTACAACATTAATTGTATATGAAAGAAGATTCATGCCCAAAAGGGAGGCTTTATGGAAGCTTTTGCAAAACCAGTTCAAACACTTTGAGGCTCTATAGGAGCCTGAGAACTAAAGACTCTTCTAGTTGAATATTTCATAAATATAATTTCTTTTACTTGAACCTTAAATTAAAAAACTTCCTATCCCCCCTTAAGAAATTCCTAGCAAGAACAATAAAATTAGGAAAATTGCATATCATTTGGCAGAGAAAATAGATTAACTTTTGGTATTTTTATTGGCCACCAAGAGAACATCTGCACCAAACAGCAGCAAACATCTGAGACTATGACCTGCCCAGTTACCAGCGGATCCCATTCCGTCATGCCACCTCCACTCACAGTGAAAGCTCCCAATTAGCAACAATCTCAATGACGTGAATCAAGTCTGAGCAGAACTTCTGTGCCTGGCACAGTATAAAACTCTGAACTCTTTCCCCAAGTAG